ATCCTACCCCTATTACTGAAGAGATAAAAGTGACAAGAAAATCCACAGGGTATGTAAATGAAGGAAGTGAAACTAAAGGAGAGGAAAAGGTGACTGTAGTCAGGGAGCTCAGAATTCAGAAGTCTCTGAGAAGGAAACCTCAGAGGAGAGACCTGAAGGCATGCCCATACCTGGGATGAAGAGGAAGTGTGCTCCCGGCAGAGGAAGTAACAAAAGCAAGGACTCTGAAGAGGAACCAGATTACATATTTGAGGAAGAGAAAGGCAAGGGTAGAGTAGTAGTGAGCAGGTGTGGCCACAGTGTGGTAAACAGGAGGGGCAAAACAGGGTTATATAGGGCAAGTCAGTGGGGTGGAGTCTGGGCTTTACTCAATGTGCAACGGGAAGTCACTGCAGAGTTATGGGTAGGGAAGTAAGACAGTCCAGATCTTTTTCAGCTAGTGAAAGGGGACTTGCCTCAGTTTGTTGAGTAACTACCTAAATGGCTGTGACAATTAGGGTTGGAGGCCAGGGGCTCATGCAATTGACACAATCTGCAGTTATTCAGGAGCCTGGAGGTGAGTAAGTGGGCAACAGCATGGCTATCCAAGCAGAGTATGGTAAGAGGAGGCTAAGCAGGTCTAGGAGGAATACAGAGTAGATAGGACAGGTCAGAACCAGGCTGTGGTGGCAGTAGACAACTTTGGTAAGAAACCCAAGAAAAGACTAGAAACAAGGGAAGTCTGCACTACCAGCTGGGCTGTGAGGTATCACACTCAAACCAGTGACAGTTCGCCAGGCATAGTGGCACATGCCTGTAACCAGTGACTCTAGATATGAGGAAGGGTGATTGAAAGTTCGAGCCCCACCTCAGCAACTCAGTGAAGCCCTCAGCAACTTACTATAACAAGTAAAATATAAAAAGGACTGGGGATGTAGCTCAGTTGTAAAGCATCCCTAGGTTCAATTCCCAATACAAAAAAAAAAGGCAAAACAAAACAAACAAACAAAAATAATGACAGTTCCTGAGAAGACCGAGGCACCAGGCAAGTATAAAGGAGACAAGAAAGCACTTAGACAAGGAGAGGTGGCTGGTTACAGCAGCAAAGCCTACCCCAGAACAATGAAAGGGAGTCCATGAGGACCCACACAGTAGGGTAGACTCAGTAGAGAAGGTCTCAGTGCTGACCACAGGGTGGGGGTGGTCCCACCACAACTCCACCCCCAAGTTCTAGTTTCTAATTTCCAAGTTTGGTTACCTAAATCTACCATACTAAGCATATTTCTTAGAACTGAAAGCACTAAAAACTGGTCAGTGAAAACAGTTTAAGCAAATGGGAAAGTGAAAAAGAGAACTAGAGAATTACTTACAGCTATGCATAGGGCAGAGAGTTGATCTGTATGGGGGCTACCCAGGGTTACCCCCATAAACTTCAGATTCAGGCTCCCAGTACTGTAGTTTTATCAACTGCATAAGGGGACCTACACACTAATAGCCTCCCAAAACCTGCCGGGGAGTGGTGGAGGGAAGACCTGACTTTTTTCTAAATAGGTGGCCAGTATACTATTTTTATTCTTCCCATGATTCAGACACAAGAAAAGAGAAGCAGAGGTCTTGAAATCCACATTCCCAGGGAACTAGAGCCCCCAACCTGTCCTCCTTGTCTGAGCCTCCAGAGCAAGCTCATGTTTCCCAGCCCGACTGTCAGCCCCTCTCAAAGGCCATCCCTGAACTCAGCGTTCGGAAGAACCCAAGCGATGCTTCCGCCTTCTCAGGCGAGGGTGGAGGAGCTGCGGAGGACCCCTTTCTCCAGGGAAGTCCCAGAGCTGGAAAAAAGAACCTGGCGAGGCCAGCAAGTACCACCGAGCGAAGTCCTACAGAGAGGGCCGCGAAGCCGACACTAGGCGTCGAGGGTGCAGGGGAAAGGGCTGGGTCTCCCAAGCCGTTCCACCCGTTCACGAACTACGCGGCAGCAGTGAAAAGGGTGGGTCAGCACAAAGCTGGGGTGTGGGGCCGCCTGTCGCTAGCGTCTCCCACCCACTCCGGGCCCGCCCAGCTGCCCACCAGTCGGTCGGGGACTTCTCGGTGACCACCCGCACGTAGGCCTCTTGCAGCGCGGGCCCGTTCCGGCTCAGGTTCGCCGCCATGGTCCGCCCCACAGTCCCCGAGCCGCAGCCGATGCAGCTTTTGGGGCCAGCCTCCCTTGACCGCCGGAGCCCCGCCCAGGTGGACGGAAGCCTCGCCTCTGACAGCCGGAAGCCCCGCCTCGAGACAGGAAGTGAAAGTAGAGGCGGGACTGAACCGTAGCCTTTGGGCTCTCCTCGGGGTGAAGGCGGTTTGAGGTTGTTCTTTTCAGGCGCTGGCGAACTAGAGGAACAGTCTTGTCACCTTCTGTTCGTCAGCAGGGTGGTCTCCCCAGGCGTGGCCTAGAGTGTGTTCTGGTTCCAGTCCAACCGCTTAGTAGCTCCAGGAGTGATGCTTAATTCTGTTAATTCTTGTCGGAGTTAATGCACTTTTAAGAGAGCCTGCATTCTCGAGTCTTCCTCGACACCGGATCCCACGAGCCAGTGTGTGGATCCTCACCAGAAGTTTGATTTATGAATAAGTCATGTACAGTTCACATAATGAATACACGTGTGAATGAATGCTAAGCGATGATCGCACCGCTACAAAACCTAAAAAAAAAAAAAAAATGCTTTTGTGCCGGTTCTCACTTTTCTTTTTCTCCCTCTGCAGTTTGGTTAAGTGTGGGGTAGTGGAGGAATGAAAAGGACTCGCTTTGTGCTTTACCTTCACATGGAGGAGGTGGTTGTACCACCTTGAAGGATAAGAACCATCTTGCCTCAACCAGCCCCCTTCCAGGAAAGACCATTTTTTTCCCATCCACAAATGTGCATGGATCATGAGAAGACGTTTTCGTTCTGAGGTGTGAACCACACTAAAGGGTCTGAAGGATAGGGCATAGGTAGAAGTTCAGGGGAGGGGCTTTGTGGTTTTTGGAGATCTAATGGAATCTTAAGTGGATTTTAAATGAGAGAGGATGGGACCTACCATAGGTAGATCATCTCCATTCCTGTTTCCCACCCACTCACATTTTTCTTGTGTTTCCCTCCCATCACATCTTGCATATGAGAAACTGAGTGACTCCATTTTTGAGAAACCAGCCTCTACCTCAGAGCAAAGCCTGTCCAAGAAAGGGGGCATGACCCTTGTCCTTGAAAAACCCACAGAGCACTCCTAGGCACATACCCACCCTGCAAATAACAGGAGAGATTTGTGGCACTAGGTGTCCCTGATTCAGGCTAGGTGAGGACCCATAGCAAACCCCTAGCAACCACCTATCAGCATGAGACAGGGAAAATACCTGGGATGTCAGATGACCCTCCCAGTAGTTTATAGTGGTTGATAACATTTTGGGAAACCATGTAGTTCAGCATGTACTCCCCTCATGGCTTAAACCAATCAGTTTAAATGAATCCCCCTCTTGTACTGATCAATCACCCTTACCCAACTTGTTCCCTCCAGTGAATGTACTAATCATGTTTTAGAGTTGTTTTATGATTTTCCTGCGGTGTGTGATGATTTGCTAAGAGATGCTATGATGTATGTAAACTCCCTGCCTTCTCCAAAGAGTGTATAAAACTGCTGCAAACCCTAGGCTCGGGGCCTCTCAGCATCACTAGTTGCTGTGTGCTCAGAGGACCGACCTAGCTCTCAGTAAATGCCTCTTCGCTGCTTACATCGATCTTGGTCTCTGGTGGTCTTCTGGAGGTCCTAAACTCGAGCATAACGCATACTGCTTTCATAATACTACTTAACATAAATAGAAAATTATTACAATGACCATCTGGGAGTCACAGTCATTCTTGCATGATCAGACACTGGCACTATTGTAGGCGGACTAGGAGACAGCAGAGTGAGAGGCAGGCTCCAAGAGGCAGATCTGCTGTTGCCCTCCAACATGAAGGCTTGCTAAGGTCCTGCCCTCCAGGGGTATCCTGTTGTACGCAGCTGGATGCCATTGAGCCTGTCTGGAGGGTGGGGACCTAGAAGAAGCAGGGAGGTATTAGGTGATATATTTTAGAAAAATCAGAGAAGCCACACTGTTTGGACTGTTGGGAGTTTTGCAGATTTCCCATAGCTTTAGGTTTTGTTTAAATAAAACTTGTCAACAGGGAAAAACCAGACGGTAGGGACAACAAAGTCAGAAAACTGGCCTCAAGAAGTGAACAGTAAGTCCTTCTTCAGGTGAACAAGCAGGCCTCTGGAAGGAATGCTGCTCAGGATTTATTTGCTGCTTCTGCCCACATAGCATCAAGCTGCTATTTAGGGATGCTGATAGCCACATCCTCCATTTCTCAGATAACCAGCACTCATGGGTAGATCCAGTGCTATGTAAGGTCCATCCCTTATACAAGGTGCCAGTCAGAAGAGTCAGGCACCAGAAGGGATGAGAGACAAGTGGCTCCATAGTGAACTTAGGGCTCCTTCTCTGCCTCTTTGGGTACCAGGCTCCAGACCAGTAATTCTGCAGATCAGGCCTATAAGCATCTTTTCAGACACTGAGGAAAACTTTCTTTGAAATATGACCATCCTTAAGAAACTTCAGTGAGGTGGTATGGAATTCTTCTGTGTTGATATACTGCTCAGCTAGCTACAAGCTACCATTTTACACGGGTCTGTTTTGGGGAATTGAACCCAGGGGTGCTTAACTACTGAGCTACATCCCCAGCCCTTTTTATTTTTATTTTCACTTAGAGACAGGGTCTCACTGAATTGCTTAGGGCCTTGCTAAGTTGCTGAGGCTGGCGTTGAACTTGCAATTCTCTCGTCTCAGCCTCTCCAGCTGCTGGGATTACAGGCGTGGAACACTGTGACCCAAGCTACCATTTTAATACAGTTAAATATCCTTGCTGTGAGATTTTTGACCCTTTGTCATGTTCTTGTAATTCCCAGATATTCCTGGAACCTTACAGATTATCAAAATCTCAGCCCCATTCATCAAATCCAGAAACTTCTGGGAGAGTTAACAGTCATTTATTCATCATACATTTGTTGTTTAAGATCATGTATCTCACCAGGTAAGCCCAGTGGCTCAGGAGGCTGAGGCAGGAGGATTGCAAGTTCAAAGCCAACTTCAGCAACTTAGCAAGGTACCAACTAATTCAGTAAGACCCTGTCTTAAAATGAAAAATAAAAAGGGGTGGTGATGTGGCTCAGTAGTTAAGTGTCCTTAGCTTCAATCCTTAGATACAATAAATGCATCTCCCTGACCTCTCTAGTCCAAAGAAAGAAACACATTACCCCACAGCTGACTTTTCAGATCTGCTGTCCAGTTGCTAACGAGGGACTTGCCTTGGAAGCATGATTTCTGAAGATGTGGGTTACACAGGAGCCCCCACACCATAGTTAATGTTACAACAAAGCTTTGACCCAAGGAGTGTTTTCCAGGCTGACTTGAGCCCTGGAAGGCATGACAAGTGGATGATTGTCTCATTGGGAGAGAACTTAAGGGGATTTCTCAAGAACATGCCTGTCCAAGGGGTCAGCAAGTATAAAGCCCACTTAAGATTCACAATGAGTCAAGATTTTTACTGGGAATCCACAAAGGGCTGATTTTACTTTCTCTACTACTTATCTCGAGCAGAGAGGGGAGGCTTGGGAAATTTTGACTGGATGCAGAAAATCCACGTTTCTTCAAACTATTAAGCTTGAAAATCCAGAATGTGGATACCCACATCCCTGACATCAGTTTGGGTCTGGATTTTCCCCTCTGACCTGCCTATAACATGTGAATCATTCTCCACTTCCTAATCTACATAAACCATTATATGCAAAATTTTCTGTGATGCTGAACTGAAGTACACAATTTCACACACTGCATGGCATTGCTGCTTAGCAGAGACTGCATTAACATCCTTTCTGAAGGACATCTTGGTAAAGGCATTCTCACCATTTATTAAGACTTACTGTTCTGTTTAAGCAAAGACCAAAGGGGTAGTAAAGAGAAATTAAGAAGGCAACCCTAACCATGGTGAGAAGCAAGGAACAAGGACCATAGGACCCAAAAAGAAGCTTTATAATAGGATAATCCTAAATGGAAACCCCCAAAAGGCAAATAAATGCAGACCAGGCTCCATCTACTCCATCTTTTGCAAAAGGAGTAATGACATGAATAACCTCAGGAAGGTATTCTCATTGACAAAACATCTGGCAATAAGGTTGCAGCTACAACTTAAGATTTTCAGGAACAAATCAAACTCCCACAGTCATCTTTGGTTGACCCCAAGTTCTAGATCTGTAGACCTTCCAATTGCCCTCAGAGGTTTTTCCTGGCCTTTTGGTTGCAGTTTTACTCTTCTCTGCTCTGTTCTTTACTTCTAGCAGTAGTGGTTATTGAACCCAGGGGTGCTTTACCACTAAGCTAGGTCCCCAGCCATTTTTAATTTTTTTGGAGACTGGGTCTTGCTAAGTTGTTGAGGCTGGCCTTAAACTTGTGATCCTCCTGTTTCAGCCTCCCAAGTTACTGAGATTGCAGGTGTGCACAACCCAGCCCTGCTTCTGTTCTGAATCACTCAAGCATCACTCTGTGAGAATGGAATAACCAACCTGGAAGAAACTAAATTTGGCTTTAGAAATTTGAAGCCCTTCAACTTTCCTCCTTCTCTGGAGGTTTTATTTGAAATCCCTTTCATGCCTTTTCCTAAGTCACCTAATTTCAAAGCTGTCAGCTCTAAAGTCAAACCTTAAAATGTGTTCCATCAGAAAGTCAAACCTTAAAATGTGTTCAATTAGAAAGCCAAGCAAGGAAGCCAGGCACTTAACAGACTATTCTAATTAAGGCTCTGAAAACCCTGTCAAGTTTTCATATCTTCTGTTCTGCCTGGGGAGTGGGGTGGGGGAAGGAGACTTAAATATCAACTATTATTTAGACTCTTAAGGGAATTGCATTTTTATTTACAGTTGAGTCTCTACCCCTCCCTGTGTTCTAGTCTGCAAATGGCTTACACTTGAACTTTGTATAGAATCCTGGTGGGAGGAGGTGGAGGTAGGGAAAAATCTCATCACATAGAAAAGCATAACCCAAATCTCACTATGGTTTCATAATTTTGCTCTTGCATCTAAAAAAGACAGTCATCTCTCATGAGGGAGGGTGTTATGTGCTTTATATCCTGACATTTTCCACTCGCTGCTTCTTGGTGTGAGGAGAGATATGCAGCATGTGGCACTGCAGAGGAAGACGCCAGAAGCCACAGAATGAGACATCCGCTTTCCGGTGATGCTGTCCCATTCCTGGGAGCCTCCAGGATGCACTCAGACTCCTTGGGATGTGATTCTGCAGCAGACAGGATGCAAGGAAGCCCACTCTGTCCTGGGCACCCAGGACAACACTGAGTTCTAAAGGCAAAGGGCATGTAGTGAGGGGCCAGGCTAGGCCCCCATGTGGTGCCATAGTGAGCAGCAGCACCATTTGAGGCCAGGCAGGGGAGGCGTGCAGGGACTGGCCTCCCAGAGACGAGCAGATGAGTTGGGGCAGACCGACCCATTCCAGTGTAACCAGAAAGATTGTGGATCATAGTTACAATGGTTGCTGATTAGGCATCAAAGATGTGACATTGTCAAAGCCACCATGGCTGAGAATGGCACCAACATGCTGCAGCCAAAGAAAGTGGGTGGCCCATATATGTGTGAAGAACGGGTGGCACTCTGTCAGTGGCTTAGCTGACAGCTCAGAGCTTCACAGGAAGACCTCTTTGCCTGGCCAGCTTCTCTTGAACAATGTCTCCCACGAAACCTCCGAGGCACTTACATAGCATATTTCTGTGTCCACTCTCTTGCTAGTCTGTTGTACCTGGAAGAAAAAAGCAGAGGGAGTGACACCCTCACTTGAAATGGTCATGTCCCTTCAACGTGGAGCAGAGAACATGACTGATGTGGGGAAATGCTGCTGCTTGTCAAACATCCAGGACTGATGGATGAATTAAAAAATAAAAACTTTCCTTGGAGCAGGAACACTTCAGTCATGGCTGTAACCCCCTTACTTGGTGAGTCCTGTTGATCCTTCTTAACTATCTGCTGTGGAAGATGTAATACTGCAGCAAATCTCTACCCTTTCTCTCTCCTGTCCTTCAATATGGATGCAGAAGATACTCAAGGTTCAGCTTGGAATAGTTCCAGGCTGTCCAGAACACAAATCTTAGAACCTGTCACTTGTGTGTGAATCAGCACCACCCTCTGCAGCTGGGCCACCTCTTTGTGCCCTCATCTCCTTGGCTGTTCACCATAAAAAGACTTTCTGTTTGAGGGGATGACTGGACAAGTCTGTATATAAAGTACATGGAGCAGGCCTGGCACCAGTGAGAGTTATCTAGGTATGTGCATTTATCTTCATTATTGTAATGAAATCTGATGCCATGAGACTGTAAATTATAGATTTGTAGTTAGGGGACACACTGAAAAAAATGCCTTTTGTTATATCTAAAATAGCTTATAATAATTTGTTTTTTTCCCCTGTGGTGCTAGGGAATGAGCCCAGGGCCCTGTGAATGCTAGGTAAGAACTCTGCTACTAAACTACATCAGTGGGCTCATAAGAAATGTTAAAGTAAAAACAATTTAAAATTTAATCAGCTAAAACTTATTTTGATTGCTACCAGGAGACTTCAATGAGTATAATAATGAGGTCTATAAAGTTCTCAAGAAAAATGTTACAAAAACCAATTCATTCTAATCTCTTCAGACTGAAGATAAGTAATAAACTAAAAGACTCTCTGAAGATACTCTTTGTTTTTTGAGAAAGGATCTTGCCAAGTTACCTAGACTGGCCTGAAACTCTTGATCCTCCTGCCTCTGCCTCCAAAGAAGCTGGGATTACAGGTGTGCACCACTACACCTGGCTTTGCAAATATTCTTCACAAGAGCCAGTAATATTCTCTCCCAGGTGCCATTCACATGACACTTCTGCTGTCTGAGTCCCATCACACCTGGCCCCTTTCTTGCTAACTGTCAACATACAGACTAACACAGGATAGTGTCTTCTGGGCCTGCTCCACTAGCCAAACACTCCCATGCTTCAGCTCACAAGGGAGTAAGAATTCTGGATCTGGTAATTGATGTTTAAACAGAATTGGCAGTAAGAGTCTGTTGGTGAAACAGCAACATACTACTGACGTCTGACCGCACCCAGCAAACTGACCATAGCTGTGTTTACCACCTTGACTGGCTTCAGCCTCACTCTGGGTATGTCCAAGCAGACAAACCCTTGTCTTATGCCATAAACCTTAGAATTTAATCCAGAATTTTCCTGTTGTCAGATTCTTCTGAGTCCATTCTTGGCTGACCACTGACTTTGCTGGCCTCAAGACAGGGTGTGGCAAACAATATTTTAGGGTTCTGTAGGACAGCTGATGAACTATCCAGGAGAGTAAACTGCTTTTATCCCCTTCTCTCTCCTCAGAGGAGAGTCAAAGGACATGTTAGTGAGAGCCAAGAGGCCACACCCAGGGCACATCCACCGTGCGCACAGGCTCAGCTCAGGCAGGAAGATGTCTGTGGGAACACTGGCAGCCATGGCACAAAGGCAATCCAAAGAGGACGCATACTTCTCTCTGTCGGCCTTGTAAGTGTGGGCTATTTCTGGCACCAGAGGATCATCAGGGTTGGGGTCGCAGAGCAGGGAGCAGATGGACAAGAGAACTGGGAAGAAAGAAACGGTCAGTCAGCTGTGGCCAGGAAGCTGTGGATGTAGTAAGCCCCCCCAAACTTGTGCTTTCAGTTGACCAGGCAGTTCTCTTCCCCTCAACACCCTAATCTAATAATGATTCTGCTTAAGTCATGAAAGTATTTGCTTTGGCTACATTCTAACTGGGAGGCAGTTTGTATTGCAAATTTCTTGATGCAGTCTCAGCACATTGTTCCAGGACACTTCCTCCTCTATATGGTCTCGGGCCCTTACTGAAGCCCCTGTGGTCTTAGCCTCTGACATCTTCCAGGCCCACAGTTTTTAACCATACCATGTATCTTTGGTGTTTGGTTCCAGGAGCCCTGTTAAGAGAACTGGAGTTCAGAGCACTCAGGTAACTTTCTAAGGTCATAGACTTGGAACACCCAGTAAATGGGTAAAAATTCTTAACTAGGTCTATAATCACAAAGCCAAAGAACCCTTCCACTCTTGCATTCATCTCTGTCATGTACATTCAGTGTGCTCTGAGAGGCTCTGGAAAAAAGGGAATCATCCACTAGGGTCTGGTGAAGAGCAGAAGGAACTGTGAGAGGATTATCATTCCTGCTTTGTTCTGGACTGCCAGGACACCCAACAAACTGCCTTCAGTGAGTTCATCAGAGTCCTAACCACAGGTCCCCAAGGGTAAGCTACAAATGGTAGAGCAGCTCAACCCCTCTGCTAGTCTCAGCTGAGATGTAGTCACTATGGACTGTCCTCCAGGCCACTCAAGTTCCAGTGCTTTTCTTCCTTCTTTCCTTCCTTCCTACTGAAGGGCCCCTTCCTAACTCCATACCTAGGACTATGCTGGCCCTGGGTCTGCCAGCTCAGCTTCAGGCAGACCCTCAAGGGTGGCATTTTGCCATGGCTGCCCCTGCAATCCTTCCTGCATATACTTCTCCTAGGTTCAACTCAGAGGGAAGCTATCTTGGGAGGATGTTGGGATGTTTCCAGGATTTGTCAGCCCAGCAGAATCTGTTCTGCCCTGGCAAGGATGTGCACCATATGCAGGGGTGGTGCTTTGTCTCTCTAGATTCACCATGCCTACTGCTGTAGGCCCTCTCCATCCTTCTAAAGCCTGCCCCTGCCAGCTGTCCCAGGCTCTCTGCAACCTTTCCTGGTTGGTTACCCAAAGCTCTTCTACCTGCACTGCCTCATGCATACTCTCTGCTTATTTTGGGAAGCTGATTTTTTTTTCCCACCATCCCACCCATCCCTTACCTGAGAGGCCACCATACTGACTATATTCAGGACTCATGTGAACACACAAACACACAGGTCATGCTCAGCACATCTTAGTTCAGAGGGAATATCTGCATTTCTTGTCTTTTTTTTTTTTTTTTGTACTCAGAATTTCACCATTGAGCTACATTTCCAGTCCTTTTTATTTTTTATTTTGAGACATTGTTTTGCTAAGTTGCTTAGGGTTTCACTAAATTGCTGAGCCTGGCCTTAAACTTGTGGTTCTTTTGTCTCAGCCTCCTGAGTTGCTGGGATTACAGGCTGGCATTACCAAACTAGGAGGAGTACCTGCATTTCTACTTGTCTGGTTTTTTAAATCTCACCCAAAGACATGTGTTCAACATCGCTTATTTTAGAAAGGGAGGATTTTCCATCAATCGTGAGGCTCCTGAGGACAGGCCATGTATCTCTTCTTTCAAAGCTGACTCACATTCTCAGCTGTTCCTTTTTGGATGAATGGATAAATGATGGAACAGAAAAGGTAGTACAATATTTGTCTTTCTGATTTTTAGATGAAGAGTGTAAGTAAAATTGATATTTTCTTCTTGTACCTATATGATGTCTTAAGCACCTCATAGTGACTGACTACTGAGGACTGATAAGATACAGGACACTGAGCTTGGTTAATGTTACTTCTCTGCAGTGCAAGGACATCATGTGTGCACAAGGCTAGATGGGGCTTTGAGACCTGGATAAGCTGCCCATTCTCCCTGAGCCTCCATGCCCACCAGTCAGTGAGTGGGTAAAAACACATGAGATAGGGCACATGAAACACACATCAGAGTTTCTACCTTTGGACACAGTGAGTGCTGGAGACCACTGTGACCGCAGGATGTCCAGGCAGATGCTGCCATTGCTGTTGATATTGGGGTGATAGATTTTTGTTGTGAAAGCGACCTGTAGAAATGAGAGATCCCAAGTCAGACAAGCCACAGGGGACATATGGAAAACAAACTGAGTAAAGTTGAAGTAGCCACTGCTGGGCTATACTAGGGTATGCTCTGTACTGGCCTCACACAGTCCTAGGTGAACTGGAAGCCCATGCCAATCCCTAATAGGACACAGGAAAGGTAACCCAAGAAGTCCCCTGACTTATTTTCTGTTGGATTCTCATTCTGAACACAGGAGGACTGATATTATATTCCCCAAAGTACTGTACTCTGAAGAGTAACAAGGAAGGTGGTGGAAAGAACTCAGAAAGCCAAAGGTCTGTGCAAAAAAATAATGACTCAAATTGTGGATATAAGAGGAAACAGTTACAACAGGAAACAGCCAAAATTTACTCCTCAATCTTTACTTAATTACTTATTTGGGTCTAACTAGCTTGGACAAAACTTGGATTTCAGCCATCACTGATTTTGGCTACACATAAACATAGTTGCTTTGTTAACATAAGATGTATCATCCCCAGCAGATAAGCCCAGGTCACAGACCTTTTCCTCCCCACCCCCGCCCCCAGTGCTGGAGATTGAATCTAGGGCCTCATGCATGATAGACAAGTATTTTACCACTGAGCCATACTCCAAACCCTCTTCTCTCCTTTTAGTTTTCCCATTCTCAGAATTTAGCCTTCATAATACACTTGCACATTTCAAATATGCAAGGATACCCACTGTAGCAAAACACATAAAACAATGCAAATGTCTCTCAAGAGATTATTGGTGAAATTAGTGTTACATATATACAACTGTTTAAAAAGCACACAGGAAATACTCATATGCTCAAATGGAAAAATTTCCAATATGCACTCTTGATGGAAAAATCAAATGCAGCTTTGTGACATCTTGGAGATGCCATGGGAGAAAAAAGGAAACACACACAGGTGGTTGTACAGGTGTAGATGATGCTTGGAAAAGAAAAAAGAAAGATCCAGACCACTGGGACAAAGAAGACTGTGTTCATTGCACATACTCCTACCATTTGATCTCTTCTAGAAAAAAACATAGCCACACATTACTTCTTGAAATGAATTTCCTGGGGACCAAAGTCCTCTCTTTAAATAGGGAGTGATGCTGTTCCCAGGGTTGATATGGGGGGCCTGTAGAGTCAGTTCCACCTTATGTGAAAGGTGCTCCAAGTCACATGCAGTTTTCATTGTCCTTGGAGTAGGATGAGAATAAGGCTTGCCCCCTCAGTCCCACCCACACCTCACAGACCAGCAATGTCAGCAATTGCTGGGCAATGCAGCAGCAATGATTCTGCTTCCTTCCCCTGCTCTGATGCTCTATTACTATTTCTTTGCTTGGACAGTGGGTGAGAAGCATCCTTTACATTGTCATCCATGATTTTTTGCATGTGTGATATACTTTAAAATATTTTTTTGTTGTTTTGCTTTTGCTTTTTGGTGCTGGGGATCAAACCCAGAGACTCTTACACACTAAGTAAACATAAGAACTTACTTGAAAAGATGAGGTGAAGGGGGCTGTGCGTATGTGAGCTTAACCAACTTTTACCATATGATTTTTTCTTTTTCCCAGTAAGGTCAAACTTCAAAAGGGTCTTGGAGAGTATCTGCTTCAATATCTCCTATAAAGATCATGCAATTCTGCCAGATTCCTCCTACAGTCAGAAAATTCTTATGAAAACAGATTATTTATTTGCTTCTTAAGTGAAGTACTGAGGATTGAACCCATAGCACTGTGCCAATGAGTGACATCCCCAGCCCTTTTTATTTTTTCTTGAGACAGGATCGTGCTAAGTTGTTCAGGCTGGCTTTGAATTTGTGATTCTCCTGCCTCAGCCTCCTTAGAAGCTGGGATTACAGGTGTGCCACCGAACCTGGATTCCTGTGAAAAATTTTAAGACAGAAGCACTTTCTTTTTTTGTAGAGTATCACTCTCATATTTCAGTTTACATCTTTCCCTGTTAAAATAATCCCAACTCACAGAATTTACTTCTGTCTTTTAATAATAGCCAATGTTTTCACTTTCTCCTTGGGCAGTTAGTGATTCTAAAAAAGGTCCAACTGATATACACGACTACATCCTTATCTGTGTAAGGAAGATTCTTAGCTGCTTACATTCTAATGATTAGAAATTGTTACTTTAAAAATAATGCACAGTCTTTCCATAAGGAAAGGGGACTGGAGGGTGGGTTAGAGAAACATGAAGCAAGCTAATGCTTTTTCAACCACCCCACTACCATTACCACCACCAATAGTACCCAATCCTGAGGGGCTATTTTAGCTCTATCACTACAAACCCTCTCCCCTGCCAAAAGCTGGAAAAGTCTCCAGAGTACTGAACATATTTAACCTTGATTTAAAATATCCAGGCACCAAGTGGCTGCTGTTGGCAACACCTGCACAGAGCTGCAACAAGTGAGCCCAAAAGGATCCTCTTACAATGAATCAGATAATCAAAGTGCAAAACAGTGGCTACAAACTTAAACTATCAGGGCCAACTCAGGTGGTAAGGCACAGAGACATCATGCTCCTGGACTCTGACACCCTGACAAGACTACCAAGTAAGTCTGATAAAAATGCTGCCCTTGATCGAATCCTGAGGACATATCACACAAATCCAAAATGATCGATTTCTGACATCATAACTGATTAATTCTCCTCAAAACCATCAAGATTTTATTTATATATGTGTGTGTGTATGTGTGTGTGTGTGTTGCTGGGGACTTGAACCCAGGGCCTAGTGCATGCAATGCAAGCACTCTACTAACTGAGCTATATCTCCAGCCTCCCAAACCATCAAGATTATGAAAAACTAAAGCACCATTACAAACTGCGATGATAGAAGAAACTAAACAGTAAGTGCTGGGAACCTAAAGCTCAAGGGGAACACTGGTAGAAACTGGTAAAGTTTGATCAAGTTGTCAGTTTAGATCATAGTACTGTGACCAGCACTGATTTCCTGGTTCTGATTGGAGCAGTACAGTAACATAAGATGTTGGTATCAGGGAAAGCTAGATAAAAAATACATGGAGGCGGCTTCCATGTGTTCTTTTTAAAAAAATTTATTTATTTGTTTTTATGTGGTACTGAGGATTGAACCCAGGGCCTTACCCATGCTAGGCAAACACTGAGATACAATCACAGCCCTCCATGTATAGCTTTACCTGATACCAAACTGTAGAGCATTAAAGAAAGAAATTGAAGAAGACCTTAGAAGGTAGAAAGATCTCCCATGCTCCTGGATAAACAGAATTAATATTGTCAAAATGGCCAAATTACCAAAACTGTTACACAGATTTAATGAATTCCTATTAAAATCCCAATGACATTCTTCATAGAACTAGAAAAAGCAATCATGAAATTCATTTGGAAAACTAAGAGATCCAAAATAGCCAAAGCAATCCTTAACAAGAAAAGTGAAGCAGGAGGCACCACAATACCATAACTTAAACTATATCACAGAGCAATAGTAACAAAAACAGCATGGTATTGACACCAAAACAGACACCATGTAGACCAATGGTACAGAATACAAGACACAGAGACAAACCCACATAAATACTGTTATTTCATACTAGACAAAGGTGCCAAAAACATTTATTGGAGAAAAGTTAGCCTCTTCAACAAACGCTGCTGGAAAAACTGGAAATCCATATGTAACGAAATGAAATTAAACCCCTATCTCATACTCTACACAAAATTCAACTCAATGTGGATCAAAGACTTATTCACTAGAACAGACATCCTGCACCTAATAGAAGAAAAAGTAGGCCCAAATCTTCATCATGTCAGCTTAGGAACTGACTTCCTTAATAAGTGTCCTAAAGCATAATAAGTAAAATTATGAATGGGGTGGATTCAAACTGAAAAGCTTTTTCTCAGCAAAGGAAATAATCAATAACATGAAGAGAGAACCTACAGAATAGGAGAAAATCTTTACCACATACACCTCAGGTAGAGCGCTAATCTCCAAGATATATCAAAAACCTTAATACAAAAAAAAAAAAACCCAAAAAAACCCAATCTATAAATGAGCTAAGGAACTGAACAGACACTTCACAGAAGAAGAAATACAATCAATCAACAAATACATGGAAAAATTCATCAACTCTAGCAAGTATAGAAATGCAATCAAAACTAAGATTTCATCTCACTCAAGTCAGAACAGCAATTATCAATAGTAAAAGCAACAGTAAATGTTGGTGAGGATGTGGGGAAAAGGTACACTCATACATTGCTGGTGGGCCTGCAAACTGGTGCAACCATTATGGAAAGCACTATGGAGAAAACTTGGAATGGGGGTTAGGGATATAGCTTAGTTGGTAGAGTGCTTGCCTTGCATGCACAAAGCTCTGGGTTCAATCCCCAGCACCCCCCTCCAAAACAAAAACAAAACAAAACAAAATCTTGGAATGGAACCACCATTTGACCCAGCTGTCCCACGCCTTGGTTTATACCCAAAGGACTTAAAATCAGCATACTACAGTGATGCAGCCACATCAATGTTTACAGCAGCTCAATACACAATAGCCCAATTATGGAACCATCCTAGATGCCTTTCAACAGATGAATGGATAAAGAAAATGTGGTATATATATACAATGAAATATTACTCAACCTTAAGAAGAATGAAATTATGGCATTTGCAGGTAAATGGATGGAGCTGAAGAATATCATGCTAAGTGAAATAAGCCAATCCCCGAAAACCAAAAGCCAAATGTTTTCTCTGATATGCAGATGCTAATTCATAATAACGGGGGGTGCCTAGGGAATAATAGAGGTAGTATGCATTAGGCAGAGGGGAATGAAGGGAGGGGAGAGAACATGGGGATAGGAAGGATACTAGAATGAATTGGACATTTTTACCCTATGTACATGTATGATTACACTAATGGTGTGATTCTGCATCATGTATAACCAGAAAAATGAGAAATTATACTCCATTTATGTACGATGTGTCAAAATGCATTCTACTGTCATATATAACTAATTAGAACAGCAACAACAACAAACAGAATACATGGAAACTCTTTATATTACTTTTGTAGCTATTTTGTTGTAAGTATGCTATATATTGTGAATGTGCTGAGGCTAAGCCCAGGGCCTTGAATATGAAAAGCAGGTGGTCTACCACTGAGCTATACTCCCAGTCCTTGCAACTTTTCTAACTCTAAAATTAACTCAAAGTAACTTTTTTTAAAAAGACTGAATATCTGGGTCTGAGTTTCACCTTGTATTATCCATGTCATCTTAAGGAGATATACATCCCCCTTTAGACTTAGCTTCCTCATTCACAAAACAGAATTGGCATTTTATTTTTAAAATGAGAATAAAAATATACATTGGTGTATATGGAAAAAATCTTGGAGAAATGTATAGGCTGTTAACTGTGATCTTCTGTGGGTCTACAGCAAGCTGGCTTCCATCTGCATACTAGTTATTTCTCTAATTTAAAAATAACAAACTTTTTCCAGTTTTGCAATCAGAAAAAGAAAGCAGTTAAAAGTGATGTGAATTATGTACCCACTATGTGTGACCACAGCTGATAGGCAGCTCAACCACTGCTTGCTTGTGTTTCTTCTCAGTACTGACTAGCTCACGTAATAAATATCTCTATTCCTCCCTAGGACCGTGAACCTCAAAACAGCAGGCTTTACTTTGTATACAGAGTCCAGGTTAGTGAGGACAACACTGGTAGTAGGATGTATGTCCAGGAGCAAGACAACCTGCAAATAGAAGATCCCAGAAATCTACTTGACAGGCAGAGGCAGGGTAGTCAGGCAGACCCCTCCTATCAGTGGCATTATTCTCTGAGGCTCTAATGAGGGAGTGGTTTGTGTGTGAAAAGCAAAGGAAAGTAAGCTACCATTCTAACTTAATAAAGGAAATTGATTTGCCAGGGTCCTAGACCAGATGACTTCACCTTGGCATTTTCTGCTAGAGAAGGGGAATAGTCCTGGACACTGTAGGGTGCTGAGCAACATCTTCAGTCTTCACTCATTAGATACCAATAGCAACCCCCTCAAGTTTTGACAACCCAAAATATGCCAAGATCTTGTCCATATGTTCCTGGAGCAAGTGCAAAATCACTCTGGCCAAGAATTCCTATCCTACACCATAAGTAAATAACTTCAAAGAAGGAAACAGTAGCCTGCAGACCTAACCAGGATTAGACATAGCAATGAGGAGTATTATAGAGATTCAGATTGACCTGAAGCAGCCATTCTGAGTTGTTACTGCCATGACTGCCCTTGAGTAAACCTGGTCTATTTTCCCTACATAGTATAAGATAAAAAACTATTAGAGTGGCATGTGGATCTTTACAATTGAACTCTGGTGCCATCAGCTCTGGGAATATGCCTGATGTCTGTGATGTTAGGTTGAGATAAACCAGGTACATTCCAGCTTGGATGAAAATCAAATTTGTCCTGACCACATTGTAAGTTCCCTCCCTTTGACCCAAGTCATAAGGATCCACTGTTTTGATGTCACCTTCAACCATGTTTCTGTCTATAAGCCCCCAATGAAGATGTACTCTGTAATTCTGGATCTGTTTGCTTCTTCTGCAGACTCTTGGTACCCTCTGCTTATGTAGTCAGTCCTTTTACACCAGATTTTCTTTGAACAAGAGCATCCTTAAAACTGAGACTTCAGCAAGAAGCCTGTTCACCACACTCTCCCTTGCTCACAACAGGGATTAATTCTCAAAGTCCAGAGTTTAAAATTCTAGAAGGCTAAAACCATGGAATTGGAATGACAGGCCCTGGAGAGAAGGTTCATACACAGCTCTCTTTACCTGTAACCTGAAGAGGCCCCTTCATCACAAGCTGTCCTTTGTCCAAACATCAGAGGATTTGGGGGGTGCCTCACCTTTGGGGGCTTGAAAGGGTAATCCGTAGGAAAGTGGATGGTCAGGAAGAAAACACCTCCTTGGTAAGGACTGTCATTCTGGAAGACACAGGAAGAATTCAGTGCTGGTCCTAAGTATAAAGTATAAGAAGCAAAACTGAAGCTGTGCACTCAGCAGCACTACCTACCGGGCCCATGATGGTGGCCTGCCAGTGGAACACTACAAGACAAAAGAGAGATGGGAACATATGAGACCCCCCCCCGAATAACATGTCTATTTTATTGAAAAGATGCTGCTAAGTTTAGAGTGTGCTGTTTACAAAAGACTGCCTGACTTCTGACACCAAATGTATTCTAGAGTTCAATAATTTGCTAGGATTCCCAGAGCTCACTGAAGGCTATTGTACTCAAGGTGACAGTTTATTACAGGGAAATGGCACAGATTAATAAAAGGAGGGGTCTAGGGCTGGGGATGTGGCTCAAGTGGTAGCGCGCTCGCCTGGCATGCGTGCAGCCCGGGTTCGATCCTCAGCACCACATACCAACAAAGATGTTGTGTCCGCCGAGAACTAAAAAATAAATATTAAAAATTCTCTCTCTCTCTCTCTCTCCTCTCTCACTCTAAAAAAAAATAAAAATAAAAAAATAACAATAAAAGGAGGGGTCTAAATGCAGAGCTTCCATTATTCTCTCCTCATGAGGACAGGACTCTCTTGGCATCAACATGTGATAAAACACAGATATTGCCAATCAGAGATGCTCGCCTAAGCCTCAATACTCAAGAAATTTTTGTTGGGGCTCTGTCATAAACATATGATTAATGACTTGAGTGCCTACAGGTCTGATTTCAATCTCCAGTCTCTCCAGCATGATTCAAAGCCTCCATCTTAAGTCACATAGTTGGTCTATTGGCATGGCTAGTCCTCACTTTAAATCACATTATTGGTATGGGTCAAAGCCTCTAGACAAAAACTCGGTTTGGGTGAGACATCTTTGAGATCACCTGCCAGAGGCTGAGGAAGAAGTTCAGATCTTTGGGGGGCAAGATTAATTTTTATATCTATTTATTTATTGAAATACTGGGAATGAAACTTAGGACCTCCTTTATGTTGAGACAAGTGCTCTATCACTGAGTTATAGCTCCAGTCCAAGATTAATTTCTTTACTACAAAGGTGCCAATAACTATAATTCAGACCTCTCTTGGCACAGAACTAGGCCTTACCCAGGCTTTGGGCTCTTTTTATATTGCTCTTGATAAGTGCCTTCTATTCCCTGGTTCTTCCCTTGATTCATTCTGAAGCCTTCTCCAAATAGTCTCTCTAAAGAACAAATTGCCAACAGCTGTGGGGGCTCACTGCTGCCACATCTACACGTCTTCTCGTGCATATCACCAGACAGTGCTCTGGGGACTCAGTGACAAGATAAGATGAGGCTCTCCTGGTTTTTCCTCCTAGGTTCCCAGACTTCAGCAGCCAAGCTGCTACACATCACACCTCTTGCCCTCTAAAGGGTCCCTGGTTACTTTTATTGTTCTGTCCATCCCTAAAGCAGCTCTAGTGCACTCAGCAAGGAATCTTTAAGTAGACCACATACTCACCTTCAAGGCTCCCAAGTCATATGTGTGACCCAGGGCAAAAACTCCAGAGCCTTTGTGGAAAATGGCTACACAACCATAGGTTTGGGCTTATGAGAGCACCTGAGAGGCCTATTATTTTCAAGGGAATTCATCTCATTTGGACTCATGATGGGTGTAGAATGGCTCAAGGTTTCAGGCCTGGTCCTATCTTGGGTTTCCTGTTACCTGTTCAAATATTCCACAGGCTTACCCATGACAGCAGGATGGGGAAGGCACCAAGGCAAGGGTTCTTGTGCAAGAACTAAAGAGAAGTTTCCCAAACCCACTAGGTGAGCCCAAAGATAGTCAAGGCAGCCAGTGAGCCTGTTTCAATATTTCAACAAAATACTGATGAAGAAGATACCTTTATCTGTAATAAGACTGCCTCAGCTAATGAAAATATCACTTGTTTTACTTCTGTTCTTATTCCAACTTATGCTAATGGAAGATCTGTTGTTTCATTTTTTCCTCCAATGAAAAAGCAATTCACAAAATGAAAGGAAAATAGGATTGTTTACCTAAAAACTGCTCATCAGATAAATTTGGGTGGTTAGCTGAAGCCCTAAAAAATACTTACAATCATCACAGGTTCTGTGGATCAGTGGGCAAGAGGATCTCCCTGAAATTGGTCAGTTCCTACAACACTACTGGGGATTGAACCCAAGGCCTTGTGAATGCTAGGCAAGTGCTCTATCACCAAGTTAAATCTCCAGCCTCAACTCATGTTAATTGTTAGATGGCAGCTTGCCTAATAAAAATGTAGTATAGAATTCCTTATTAAATAAGTGTTTTTAAATTTTTTTTTGTAGTTGTAGATGGATAGAATGTCTTTGTTTATTTTTATGTGGTGCTGAGGTTCCAACCCAGTGCCTCATGCATGCTAGGCAAGCGCTCTGCCACTGAGCTATAGTCCCAGTCCTAAATAAGTGTTTTGATAATATATTTCAGAATAGGAGCCCATGACAAATGAGTAGCTAATAAAAGTGGTCCTTTCTTGGTTACAGGATAGGATCTTCTGGTTTTGTTCATTTTAACCCCTAATAGCCGCTGGGGTGCTGAGCAGGTCTTGAGGACACAGTCAGAAAAGAAGTCCCCAAAAGAGAGAGGATGAGAGAGGAAATAGAGAAGAGATGCTGTACAGGAGCTATCTGTTAATGGGGCAGGCATAAAATAAGCTTGAAAGGAAAGCCAGCTTCCAAGGTTGTCTGAGTCTCATCCACCAAGGTATTGGTTAGGGCAAGTGGACTTGGTGTTAGTCTTTTTAACAGTGATAGCTGACTCCTGATATAGGGCTGCAGTGCAAGGTGAGCAAGAATGTAAGCTAAGTACCAAGAAGCTGCCTCTAGTTAATTAGAACCAGTCCAACCTTGCTATGACCCTAGTTTAACTTGATATTAAGTAACAGGTCACAGGGGAAAAATGCTTTGGAGATCTAAGATGCTTATGAAGACAATACAAGCAAAACAGTGACTAAAGGGGAGCAAGCAAGAAGCAGGTGTCAGGAGGCTTTGGAGCTTGTTGCCGTATTCATACTCTGTCCATGCAAATGAATCATTTCTGCTCTGCTGAAAAAAATTATTTAAACTCCCACAGAAAGCCTTCAGAGCCTGCACTTTCACTAGCTTCATCTGCCTAACCTTGGCTCCTTTGAGCTCTAGCTCTTCCCAGGACATGAAGGCACACATGGGATACCACCCAACTTTTTCCCACTAGTTTCACGAAATTTTTCTTCATTAGATACTGGTAAACTATATATAACAAAATATGAGATTTATATACAACTTTTAAATGTGCAATCCAGTGGTATTAGGTATTATACGCATCTACAATGTTGTACAACCATTGCCACTATCCATTTCCCTCTCCCTCCCTTTCTCCCTTCCTTTTCTCCCCGCCCCTACCTCACCCCACCTCTTGTGGTGCTGGGGACTGAAACTGAGAATTTTCTAAAGCTTTTCTATCATCCAAAACAGAAACAGTATGCCTATGAAACAATCTATATCCCTTTACCATCTGGTAATCCCTCATGAACTTTTATTTTTTGCTACTAGAGATTGAACCCAGGGCGCTTAACCACTGAGCCACATCCCCAGCCTTTTTTGTATTTTATTTAGAGACAGGGTCTTACTGAGTTGCTTAAGGCCTTGCTATGGCTTTGAATTGGCAATCCTCCTGCCTCAGCCTTCTAAGACACTGGGGTTACAGTAGATGACACCATGCTCAGCAGCTACTTTCTATCTCTAAGAATTTGCCTAGTTTAGACATTGGTATAAGTAGAACTATGCAAGATTTGTCTCTCCCCTTCACCTCAAGGTTTATTTCACTTAGCATGCTTTCAAGGTTCCCCCATATTGTAGTGTACTTCAGGATCACATTTTGTTTATCCATTCACTTGTGTTGTCATCACCTTTCAACTATTGAATAATGATGCTGTGAACGCAAGCATATTTCAGTCTATAGGACCCTATGATTTTATTACAGCTGCTGCCTACCAGTGGAAGAGAGAAGAAAAGAAGATAAGGGAATTCTTGGAAACTCTAGTGCTGGGCGGCTTCAGCCTCCAGGGCTGGCCAGGGTTGCTTTTTTCTCTTAACCCCTGTCCCAATCAACTGCTTATAGCTACTTCTTCAGTCTTCCCCTCGTGAAGCACAGAAGTGTGAGAAAAGAATAGATAACTGTGCTCCAGTTACCAGAGGCATGTAGCTGCCACCCTGCCCCCTAATCAGCCCTCCTGTTTGGCTCCCAGGTATACTTATCTATAACTAGTTGTATAACAACTTTTACATCAGTGCCTCAAGTCTGACTTGGTCAGAGGCCTTTTACAGAAGCCTATATGCCCTGGGACAAACTGGTTTTCTCATGACTCAGTGGAGGGAGGGGTGATTTCTGGCAGCAGAGTGTAACCTGACCTGCCACACTGAGGTGAAATTAAGACCTTCAATGAAAAAGCAATTGACAAAATGAAAGAAAAATAAGATTGGTTTTCTTAAAAGGTGCTCAGCTGATAAATTTGGAGAGTTAGCTGAAGTCCTGAAAAATACTTACAATCATCACCCACAGGTCCTGCGGAACACTGGGCAGGAGGATCCCTCTGCAAGTCGGTCAGTTCCTACAACAGGAGACAGTGGATTAGGCTGAGGCATGCCTGGGGTCATCTTTACCCACAGATCCCCCTGGACACAATTGTTCTCCAGGTGGGAAGCCTTAGGAGGTGAATGAAGACAAGGCCAATCCAGGGCCTACTCTCAGCTGTGAAGATACCAGAGAAGTTAAGTATTATCATTTCTATTTTGTAAATTAGGAAAATGAAATGTAAAGCAGTGAGGTAAATAAGGCAGGGTTACAGAGCTGGATGAGGGGAGGGCAAGGAATCAGTTACCGATAGATCTGCCTTACTCCAAGCCTACCTTCCCACCTGCTCAGATGAAGGACACCACCTCACAAAAACTTAGAATAAAAAGAGCCCCAAGAAGCTCTTGGTGGTGTGGTGGCTGCCTGTAATCCCAGCTATTGGGTAGGCTAAGGCAGGAGGAATGCAAGTTAGAGGCTAGCCTTGGCAACTTAGTGAGATCTATCTTAAAAAAAAAAAAATTGGGGGTAGGGCTGTGATGTATCTCAGTGACAGAGCACCACTGGGTTCATCCCCAATAATAGGGGTGGGGGGAAGAGCCCCAAGAGAATCTCTGGGAGAAGGGTAGGGGTCAGATGCTATCTGTGGGCTAACGAATTAAGTGGAATGAATTAAGTGGCACAGAAAAAGTGCTCATCATGCACAAGGTTCTGGTACTTCAATCTCTCTACTGTACCTCCCTTATCACCATTTCAAAGCCCATTACTGGGTGTTTAGCAAGTCCTAGGGCTTCATTATAGAGACCAAAGGCATGGTAAGCCAACATTTAACACTGCTACCTTATGCACCAATGGAGACCAGTAATTACACCATGACTAGATTCCCTTTATGAGATATCAACTCTGACACAATCCCTAAAGATGCCCCTGGTCCAGTATGAGCCTCAAGACCCAAGATTTTGGGAAATGACTCTCAAACTTTAGTTTGTATGTATGAGAATGTTTCTTAACATCCCCTATCTTCCCCAGGTTCCAGATCCCAACAGACTTCTTGGGGTTTCCAGAGGTTGTAAAAGAAACTGTCCATCACATGTTAGGTAATCCCAGGGTGCAGTACCTGCACAAAGTTCACACCTGGATGGTTACATTCTTCCTTACCTTAACTAAGTCATATACCATCTCACCTACAAAGACCTTCCTGTAATTACTATGTCTTTGGCATGGTGGTCATTCTAGAAACCCCTTACTGTCTCACCTTGCTTTACTTACTCCACTTACCCCTAAATTTATTTATTTAAAAAATTTTTTTTTAGTTATAGATGGCACAATACCTTTACTTTATTTATTTATTTTTGTGGTGTTAAAGATGGAACCCAGTGCCTCACTGTGTGAGATAAACGCTCTACCACTAAGCTACAATCCCAGCCTCTCCACTAAATATAATTAGTCATGATGGCAGTATTCCCACAGAAGCCTGAAAATTCTACAAATCAGGAATGTTTTCTCTCCTAGAGTTGATTTCTAAACATCTGCCAGGGCCAGGCAAGGTGGCACATGCCTGTAATCCCAGCAACTCAGAAGGCTGAGGCAAAAGGAGCACAAGTTCGAGGACAGCTTGGCCAATTTAGTGAGATCCTGTCTCAAAAACAGGAGGTGGGGAATAGGGATACAGTTCATTAGTAGAGTACCCCTAGGTACAATCCCCAGTACTGGGGAAAAAGAATCTTCAGTACACTACTAGTTAGTTCTCAATAATTACCTAATATATATGAACCCATTTCCTCACACACAAAATGGATTATACTTGGAAAGTGTTCGGTCAGCAGCATTACTAGTTGAGAGCAGAAGAGAACTTGGGGAACATGCATATGAGGACATACTAAAAAATGCAAGTGCTACAGAAATCTCTGCAGAACAGTCCTTTCTGCTTACATCTCTGAGCTGTGCCCCTCAGCACCTCATCTGTGACTCTGCAGAGTATATATTTACATCCATTGTGGTGCTGCATGAATAAATGAGCTCTTCGATGAGACTGTTAGAGCAAGTCCTGGACAGACCATATGAATGGTAAGGGGCGGAAAAGCCAGCAGTACAAGCTGATTCTCCTACAGTTCACAAGGTTTTCCCAGAACTCCATTCTTTTGTCTCCACAGATTACCCAGAATCTATGTCCCTCCTTTAGGGGCATGATAAGTAGTTATTAGGACTTAAATAACTTTTGAAAGGCCAGAAGTGGCCCCTACTGATAGATACCAACTAGCACCAAGGGGTTCTGATCAGTAACTGGCATTTTCAGGAACAATAGTGTGACCTATTCTATCACTCACATAATTATTACTGTGCTCACTGAAAGGAGCTAGAAGATTCAAATTCAGCTCTAGCACAGGGAAAATCACTTTTGGGTCTTAATATAATTATCTGTTAAACTGTAATTATGCTTGTCTGCCAACTTGTCAGTGCTATTGTGTGGCAACAGATTTTTTTAATGCATATAATGGTAAACAAGAGCACCCAGTAAGATCAAGGACAGTGCGATGCACAGATGATTCGACCATTAGCATTATAAAGGGAAAGAAGATAGAATACTTGCATAGTATGCAAAAAGGCCCTGGGTTTGATCCCTAGCACCCCCACACACCAGGGGTGGATGGGTAGAATATATGTGTGTGTGTATGTATATGTATATATACTCAGGTCCATCTGACACCCAAGTCTACTTTTTTTACCCCTTCCAGGTAATAATTAAATAAATTACTGGCTACACATACCCCTCCCTCCTCAAGTTCTGTCAAACCCACCACTGCTGAGCTGTACAAGCACTGTTCTTGCCTGGTATCCATTCCATGATCATTAACTTGGACAAAGCAATTGCTGGACTTTCATAATAGTCTCAAGTCTCCCTATGCCCTATTCCAAGTCATATGATGTCAGAAAGCTCTTTTTATAATAGACTTGAGCATGTCATTCATCTGCTTCAAAGCCCTAGGATGATAGATGACCCTTTTTAGAGACCAATTGGTTAAAATTATCTCTTTTTTTTGAAAACTACTTATAAAAGAGAGTTAAAGGGTGGGACAAGATGGCACATGCCTATAACCCCAGTGACTTGAGAGGCTGAAACGGGAGGATCACAAATTAGGGGCCAGTCTCAGCAACTTAGTGAGATCCTTAGCAACTTGTCTCAAAATGAGAAAGACTGGTGATGTAGCTCAAGTGGTAAAAGCACCCCTAGGTTCAAACAGAAGTACCCCCCCCAAAAAAGTGAGTTTTAGGACTAGGGGCACAGCTGAGTGGTATAGCACCTGCTTAATGTACACAATATCCTGGGTTAAATCCCCAGCACTGCCCAAGGAGTGGGGAGACTGGTGTCTCTTGTATTCTTAAAGATCGCGCAATTCTACCTCCAACAATCAAATCTAATAATATAAATTTTTAAAAAGACTGATTTGGGTAAGTGTCTGTAGTCCCAAACATTTGGGAGACTGAGGCAGAAAGATGGCTTGAGTCTAGGAAAAAACAAATGGAAAAATAAAAAACCCATCTCAAAAAAAGAAAAAAAATTAGAAAAGAAAGAAATAAGCTAAGCCTCAATGCAAAATGGTATTCATTACTTCCTTATTTATGTAAAGAACATTATTATTTATGTTAAGAACAATGTAGAATCATATAAAGGAGAGTTAATTCGTTGAGTGCTTGGTATATGTCAACCACAAACATACCATCTTATTTAATTCTCAAGACAACTCTGTAAATAGGTAAGATAGGAAGACTAGGAATGATTAAGTGCTTTTGTGAAGTTCCACTAGAAGTAACCTTGCATTCTTTAACTCAGGTCCATCTGACACCCAAATCTATTTTTTTTAACACCCACTCCAGGTAATAATTAAATAAATTACTTACTGGCCATGCACTGGTGGGATGATAAAATGCTAAAAATTATGATTATTGCCGGGCACGGTGGTGCATGCCTGTAATTCCAGGAACTTGGGAGGCTGAGGCAAGAGGATAGCAAGTTTGAGGCCAGCCTCAGCAAATTCGTGAGACCCTGTCTCAAAATAAAAAATAAAAGGGAATGGGGATATAGCTCAGTAGTAAAGCACCCCTAGGTATAATCCCCAGGACCCCCTCCAAAAATCGTTATAAATAGCCAGTCGGTGGAGCTCATAATCCCAAAGCCAGCCTCAGCAACAGCGAGGCGCTAAGAAACTCAGTAAGACCCTGTCTCTAAATAAAATATAAAATAGAGCTAGGGATGTGGCTCAGTGGTTGAGTGCCCCTGAGTTCAATCCCTGGTACCCGTCCCCCCCCCAAAAAAAAAAAAAGTTATATTCAAATGTAGGACAAAATGCAGTGTGTGTGTGTGTATAAGAAAAAGACTGCAAGTAGCTATGCTAAAATGTTTAAATGGTAAGAGGGTAGTATTGGAAATACTTTTTATTCTACTGCTGTGCATTTTCCAAATTCTAGTATAATGTACTGAACTCCTACCAAGACACCGTGTTACCTACAAGATAAAAGCCTGGTATTCTTTCTAGAAGCCCTGGGCCCCAACCCCATTCCGAGCATCACGGTCTCCAGGAAGGCCTTTCTCCCTTTACACCACTTCTGAGTTCCTATTCAACCCCAATACTTAGCGTCAACCTTGAAACCCCAGTCAGTCAGTTTTCCTCCGGCCTCTAGCTCCTGGGCAGGGCGCACACGTGACCCGGACTCATGACCCCGCCCACGTGAGCCAACCCCGCCCCGCGCACACGTCGACCCCTTTTAAGGCTGCGCCGGCGGCGGTTCTGCTTCCCACCGAGACAGGTGTCAGTGCCTTTCGCCGCGCCAGTCATCGGTCGCTTCGTGGCAGTTGCATCCGGCCCTCATTTAGACGCTCTAGACGCCCAGGTCGAAAGGTGGGGAGGCCCCTTACCTTCTGGATCCGCTTCAGTGCCATCCTCTCCGCTGCTTGGGACCGGGCGGCCCGGCGGGGCTGCCTGGGGCGGCCCGCTGCCGGCTCGGCCGCCGCGCTGCACGCCGGGAACCGCTGTCCGCGCGTGCGTAACGCGGGGCACTGTGGGGCGGTCGTCGCGCGTGGCGCGTCCGAGCGCGGTTGGGGGCCAGGTCCTGCTTGTCAAGTTATTGTGGCCCCAAGTAGGGCCGTGCGGCTTTGACTTGTGGTCGGCGAGGGCCTGGGGCACAGCGACCCGCCGAGCGCCCTACGCTATGCTCTCTATTCCCGCCTGGGCTCCTTCCCAGGCTTTCGCATAATTCCTGAGGGTATTCTCCACCCTGTGAGTATACGTATGCATTTTATACGTTGTGATTGGAGGTTCTAACAGCTGTTTCCATATAGATGCAATCCCAAACCTGGCGCCGTGGCGCACTCCTGTAATCCCAGCGACAGGGGAGGCTGAGTTGGGAGGATCACAAGTTCCGCGCTGCTTAATGAGACCAAAATAATAATAATAATAATAAACTAAAGGAACTGGGAGGATGTAGCTCAGTGGTAGGGTGCCCCTGGATTCAATTCCCAGGACCGAAAAAAAAGTGTACATACGAAGCAGACAGGCACGCATAACTATGTGGTAGGGCCTGCATTTTCACTAATTCAGGTAGTTCTGACGCACTGCCAAAGTTTAAGAACTGCAGCCTGAAACTTAATATCTTAAACTTAATTCTGTACCCTTCCCCCTTTCCGAAGACCTGGGAGTTGTCTAGGTCAACTTCAATTCATGGTTATGAACTAATTAGTAGTGTGTCATGAAATCAGCTTAACGAATTGCAACTACAATTTAAAACATGAAGTGTAATACAATAAAATATATAATGTTGGTGTATCTCACATAGTAAAGACAAGAATTGTCAAAGTTTTGTTGATGTGTGCAAGTGTGTTATATGTTGGTGATATTTTTTTTCTCCAGACACTTTACAGGACAAGGATACTAATGCAACTACTATAGGACCAAAGATGTCATCTGGGATTGTCTCTGACCAGTCAGGACATATGGTCATCTTTGAGTTTATATGCAGGATATAAAATGAATTATATTTAATGGTTCCCCCTGCCTTCCATTCTCTCATTCCCCCAAACTGTCCTCCCCACAAGTTCATGAATCTAACATTAGTCTAATCAAGCTGCATCCTTTCCCAAAACTCTTAAGGAATCACTGTAATCTATAGTAATACTTTCAGGTATCCGTGTTCTTTTTAGAATCTAGTATCCTCTAATTTTACCTCTTCCTCCCTAACTTTCAATCCTACTATCAAAGATTTCTATCAATGTTCCTACTTATATTCCTTTACTCCTGGCTGCCCTTCATCTGGAAAACTCCGTTTTTCACCCTTAACTTTCCAGCTAAGCACATTGGTGCACTCCTGTAATCTCAGCAACTCAGGAGGTTGAGGCAGGAGGATGGGGACTTAGAGGCCAACCTCAGCAACTCAGCAAGGCTCTAAACAACTTTTCTTGGAAAATAGTAAGGATTCAATGTGTAGTACCTTCCAAAACTAGCTCAATCATCACTCTCTGAGTGAGCCAGGTTAAGAAATTTCTCTTGGTTTCACATATTTGCAGTACAAATTTCCAGCCAGGTGCAGTTGCCTGTGCCTCTAAACCCAGCTATTTAGGAGACTAAATCAGGAAGATTGCAAGTTTGAGGTAGGCTTGGACAACATAGTGAGACCTGGTCTTGAATACATAAAAAGAATGGATAAAAAATGTGTGTGTTAGACCATAGCCCATCCAGCTCTACATTGTTTACCTGACTCTTCTGTGGAACAAATTATCCCCCACATTTAAAAAAAAATATTTATTTATTTATTTATTTTAGTTGTAAATGGACCTTTATTTTATTTATATATAATACTGAGACTTGAACCCAGGGCCTCACACATGCTAGAAAAGTGCTCTACCACTGAGCCACAACCCCTGCCTTGTATCCCAAAATTTTATAAGTGTTTATGTATTGGTATTAGAATATAAATTTCGATGATAATGTTATTCCTGGATAGTGGGTCTACTAGTGATACCAATTTCCAAAAATTTGTACAGATGATTTGCATCACTTGTGTAATCCAGGGAAACAAATAAAGCTCTAAAGAACAGAAAATAAAAAGTTGCAATTTTACTTCCTATTGATAGTTTAGGTTATAGTTTTCTTAACTTTTTATTATTCTTATATGTATTGTTTAATTTTTAACTTTGAAATATTTTAGATATACAGAATTAATTTTAAAATGTTACAAAAAAGATTTAAACACCAGTGCTTACTTTATAAAAACTTAAAACTGGGCCATATATGGTGGTGCTTGCCAGAGATCCCAGCTGCGAAAAAAGCTGAGGCAGTAGGCTAGAAGTTATAGGTCAGCCTGGGCAACTTGGTAAGACCCTATCTAAAAATAAAACTTTAAAAAGTTCTGGGGAACCAGGAGCATTGGCATCTACCTATAATCCCAGCTACTCTAGAGGCAGAAGCAGAAGGATCACAAATTTGAGGCCAGTCTCAGCAACTTAGTGAGTGAGACTTGTCTCAAAAAAAAAAAAAAAAAAGTGTTCCCTGGTTGGATCCCCAGCACCAAATATTCAAACACAAAAAGGGGTCTGGGGATATAGCTGAGTGATAGAGCACTAGCTTAGCATGCATAAGGTCCCGAGTTCAAACAAACAAACAAACAAACAAAAACTGGGCAAGAGATTTGCATAGACATTTCTTTAAAGATAAAAAATTGGTAAGCACATTTTTAAAAAATCATAAGAAAAATGCAAATCAAAGCCATAATGAGATACCACTTTGTGCCCTCCAGGATCAAGAAAAGTTTTGATAAGGATATGGAAAAGCTAGAGCCTTCACACATTCTGTTGGGAAAGTTAAATGGTACAGTCATTTTTGGAAAATGGTTGATAGTTGCTCAAAAGTTAAATCGAGTTATCATATTACTCTTAAATATACATATAAGAAAGATAAAATATGTCCATACATAAATCTGTATACAAATGTTTATAATAGCAGCATTATATATACTAGTCAAAAGGTCACAATAACTGAAATGTTCAATGGCTAAACAAAAAAGTGATGTTTCCATACAAGGGAGTATTTTTGGGGAATAAATTAATGATATATACTTTATATATATGTTTCCAGGGTTGCTGTAATAAATTACACAAACTGAGTGACTTAAACAACAGAACTGAGTGGCTTAAACTCTGGAGGCCACAAGTCTGAAATCAGGGTATTATCAGGGTTGGTTCTTTCTGAGGGATGCCTTTCCCCTAGCTCCTTAGCAGCCTTTGTTAAATAGTGTTCCCTTGTATCTTCTTAGTATCTTCCTGCTATGTGTGTTCTCAGCTCTGACTGTATACTTACTTTTGTAAGTATACAGTCAGAGCTGAGAGTATAGTTCATTGGTAGAATACTTCCCTAATATGCACAATGATCTAGGTTTGATCCCCAGCACTGCAAACAAACAGAAAAGGTATGGTTACATTGGATTAGAGACTCAATGACCTCTTAATAACTTGATCATCTCCAAAGATTTGGTTTCCAAGTAAGGTCACATTCATAGCTGTTGGGAGTTAGTACTTTAACAACTTTTGGGGGGACACAGTTCAACACAATAATAGATGAGGAGCAGAAGGTGTAACTCAGTTGTCTAGGATGAACAAGTCACTGGGTTTGATTCCCCAGCACCAATAAATAAACCCTGAAAATACTATATTAGGGTGCAATGAGTGGCCTGTGCCTGTAATCCTAGGGACTCAGAAGGTTGAGGCTGAAGAATTACAAGTTTGAGGACAGCCTCAGCAACTCAACAAGATGCTGTCTCTCTCTTTCTCTCTCTCTCTCTCTCTCTCTCTCTCTCTCTCTCTCTCTCACACACACACACACACACACACACACACACACACACACACAAAGCAGGGGCTGATGTAGCTCAGCAATAGAGCACCTCTGAGTTCAAAAAGAAAATATTAAGTCTGATCTAATTTTACTCAACATTTCTAACACCAAAGGTGTGAGTTTTTCTCCTTTTATCAACCAATTCTTTTGACTCTCCAGACACACACTGGCTATACTATAATTCAATTCCATTCTAGTACCAACTTCCCTGAGTTAGCATAAAGCAAACCCCACAGGTTAAGAGTTTAGTCCCCACAAGACTGCCCCCATTTCTAATGCCCTCACAACTCTCAGGTTGCCACCTGAATGAAAGAGAGTGAATTTGGAGTCCCTACTCTGAATTAAGAGCAGTCTTCCTCCTGGGGAAGGAAGGAAGCTAAATGGCTAAAGGAAGCTAAAGAATGAAGATCCCTTCCCTGCCCCAGCTCTAATACAGTGTAATTAAATCTATGTATGTATATCATCTGGCTTTTGTTTCTATAAATTGTAACTGCTTCTGTGGGGCTGGTGGAGAAAAGCAGTCTAACTGCTTCTTGATTTGATCAAACTGCATGAAGTTCACAATTTATTTTTCCATCTTTTGTTTATTAAGTGAGCCAGTGGCTAAATCCTCCAGCCAGGGTCCCTGGGTTAGGCTGTCTGTGACATGAACCCAGTTAGTAGGTAGGCATGATTGATGAGATCATTGGGTGTTGATGATGAAACCCCATGTCCAGCTCTTTTTCCCTGGTAGTCCTGGGGTGATGCTGGAAGTTCCAGCCCTCTAGTCACAGGGTTAGATCCTCGGGAATCCTACCCATCACTCTGAAACTAATCTATGGGCCTACCAAGAGTCTCCTATAGGCATATCTCAGGTTTTTGTTTTTGTTTATGAAAACGCTTCCTATCACTTCTGTCATGCAGGAAATTCCAAGGGTTGTAAAAATTGTGCCAGGGGGCTGGGGTTGTGGCTCAGAGGTAGAGCACTCCCCTAGCATGCGTGACACAGCACTGGGTTTGATCCTCAGCACTACATAAAGTAAAATAAAGACATTGTGTTCACCTATAATTAAAAAATAAATATTAAAAAAACTGTGCCAGGACCAGGGGCAAAGACCAAATATATATATTTCTTATTATATCAAATAAGTGAAAGAGGCCAGTTACAAGAGGCCAAATAGTGTATGGCTCCATCTGTATATCCAGAATAGGCAACACTATAGAGACAGAAAGTAGATTAATGGTTGCCTGGAATGAGGAAGGGAGGGAATAGGGAGTGATTGCTGATGGGTAAATTATATGTTCGTACACATGTTTAAAATATGATGGTGCAAGGCTGTAATCCCAGCTACTCAGGAGGCTGAAGCAGGCCAGCCTGGGCAATTTATCAAAATCCTGACTCAAAAGATGGGAGT